AGGGGCTGGTCTGGGGAGCGCTGCCCTGCAGCGGGGACGGGGCTCGGAGCTGCAGGGGGTCCTGCTGGGGTCTGGTGTCCTGGCCTGCGCTGGGTGAGTCGCGGCCGGAGGCTGCGGGCTGGGGCCGTTCAGTTCTAGGCTGAGTTACTTCAAATTGCAGGTGGTTCTGCTCAGTTGTGATTGTGACAGTTAGTTGTTCATTGAGTTGATTGCATCATGCACTTATGTGCCAAAAAAATACCCTTTTTAAATTGCATTTTCATTTTATTTCTCCCATGCAATGTAGCAATAGAGTATTTTTATACTTAAAATAATGATACTGCACGTTGACATGGGGACAGCAAGGACCCAAAGTTTATCTTGGCAGAGCCTGGTGTAGTGATCTCCCCTCAGGTGCTGGTTGTTGTCAGAGAGCTTGGAGCCTTGGCCCATGGCTGCACTCCCAGCCATCAGGAACTGATGGGTGCAGCTTATGCTTCAGTGGAGGGGCAATTTATCTGAACTGGAGTGAGGATCCATCAAGAGAGATGGGTCCCTCATGTCCAGCAAGCTTAATGTGCTGCTTCTGACAGCCTCTCCTGCTCTGCAGTGCCCTCATACTTTTTATAATTTGTTTTTAATCTGGAGTGTTCATTGTTGAGATCTTTAATGCAGGAAGTATTCTACTTTTTACTGTACAAATTCAAGAAATACTAGAGAATTAGCCTTCCAAAATTGGGTGTTTAAATATAGCTTCAGAATATGACTTTAAATTATTTAATTATTTGTGTGCCTGTCTAAATTAATCTTTAAATCCATGCTTTTGCAGTTACCTGTCCTGCAGCCACACTTTTCATCCTGCAGCTGCCTTTTGTCCTGCCCTTTTTGATAATTTACTTGATGACAGAACTGCATCACGTGAAGAACAACGGTAATAAAAGCAGTAGAATCACAAGTGCCAACTTCCCATTGAAAAGGTCTCAGGTTTGAGGCTGAATTTCTTAAATACCTAGCAAAAACCAGTATTTTATGAACAAACAATACAGGGTATTTTTTGCCAAGTGTAGAAACAGTACAGAAAGCTCCAACTGCAGCACAAGTGCAAAAAAAGAGAGGGTTTTGTCCATAATATGACAAAGATGTCTTGACTCTACATTTGTGTATATGCTTGATTGCTGATAAACACAGTCAGGATGAGTATAGCTCATAAATACAGCCAACTCCTAATTAAGCAAACCTGTGTAGGCTGGAATGTCTTAGCTAGTTGGAAAAAACAGGATCATTGGATTACTGGGGAATTTGGTGCAGATAGATCCAGTGGGAGTTGGACTTCCCTCAGTAGTCTTTCTTACCTTCATCAGTGCCTCAGTACTGCAGATTCCTGCTCTCTTACTTCACATGGGGCTGGGAAAGATCTGGTTCTGGGAGATCTGAGATAGCTGGGTATGCAGCCATTTTGGGTGTGGAGTGTTTGTGAAATCTGGTCTCGAGTCAGGCAAGAGTTCAGGCAAAGTTTACAAGATTAATTTGCTTCCAGGTGGGGAAACAAGAGCACATAATCTTATGCTGGCTCAGTACAGAACTTGGGCTAATAAGCCTGCCAGACTGGAACAAGCATGTGTAGTCTACAATTGAAAAAAAATTTTTGTAGGTAAATGAGTTTTCCCCCTTATAAAAGCATAGTTCCTAGTATATTGATATGCAGACTGAATGGTGTCTTTCAAGAGTTGTTTGATAACAAAACTGACTGGAAAGACCACAAGGCTTATAAGGCAATCACTGGAAAGTCAAAATCTCTTTTCTCAGAGTATTTTATTTCTCAATACTTGCTGATGTGACAAAACTATGCAAAAGTATAAATGTAACATAGACCACATGTTCAAAGGTATTGAAAGAAACATGTACTATTTTGGCTACTGTAGAATTGCCTACTCTGAATTTCTGCCAAATAGATACTGGAAATAATGTAAATTTTTTTCATTCCTACTGAGCAACTTTAATTTAAACAAATTCATGGATGAAGACATAAAGACTTACACTGAGTGATAAGCACAGAGTGATGAAGCTATTGTTTTAATAATACCACTGATGGTAGGTTTGAATGAACATTACATCAGAGCAGTAATAAGTGACTTACAGAGCATGTCATGATCCTTGAGTGTCTCCATTTGCTCAGACTTGCCAGCAGAGTAGTAGGAAAGAGCCTTCTGTCTTCCTGCAAGTATTCCAGAACACAGGCATGCACTAGAATTGTTAATCAGATCCCTTTGCAAATACTTCTGCTTCCAGGAAGTACCATGGAAGGCCTAACTGGTGGAGGGAACTTGCTGCTGACAGCTGAAGATGAGAAAGGAAATACTGTGAGTTACTGCACTTCAGATTTGTCCCAAATATTCTGTGCATTTCTAGAAAGCAGAAATGGTCAGCATATGTTGCTCTATCTAGAACTTGGTAATTTTGACTCTTACTGTTGTCACATTTTGGTATATTAGAATGTTATTGTCCTAATGGCAGCTTTTTTCTGGCAAGAATCGCCTAAAATTTTTCTTCCACAGGTTTTGCATTCTGGGTTGATTCATGAGAAGCCAAATAAATTCCAGTATTCATCTAAAAAGGTTTTCTCTATTGGCTATGAAAAGAGTTTCTTTAGTTCATTAATGCCACCCCCTAAAATGAGGCCGTGCCATCACTGTGGTCTGTCTGGTAAGTGCCTGTTGTCCTGTGGTCTGTGATGCATTGTATGGTAGTGAGATCAGAAAGTTTGCTTAGACATGTCTTTAAATGGATGTGTAGTTTTCTCTCATACGAGAATAGAGGAAAATGGAGTTACAGAACTGATAAACAGAAGAGAGCAAGAGCTTTTTTTTAAATAGACATTTTCCTTCTTAAATAGAGGAGGGATTTGACAGATGTGGGGCAGTAATATCTGACAGCTGTATGCAAATCCAAATACTTATTTTTGTGTGCTTAGAACTGTACTGGAACCATCTTGGAGAGCAGTTATATAATAATAAATAATGGAGCCTGTACCTTAACAGCTGTGGTCTCTTCTGATACAGATGTTTCTCTCTGACTTTTTTAAGGATCCTTCAGATGTTCACAATGCAAGCAAGTCTACTATTGCTCTGCAGATTGTCAAAAGAAAGATTGGCCAGCACATAGTGTTGTATGTGAGCCAATTAAACAGACGTAAGTTTGTTAGAAGTTCTGCCAAATGATCTTTGCAGAAAGACAATATTTCTCCCAGTACAACTTAAATGGCCATGTAAAGGCATTATTATAGTAAAATATATTGCTTTACTCTTAGGTTAGTGCTGCATTATCTTGTCAGAAAACTTGGCTCTGATGCTTCAGAAGGGTGAAGTTCTTAAGGTTTGCATGGTTTACAGTGTTAGCAAAACTCTATAATATTCTCTATTTTAATAAAAAATGATTTATTTTTTGTTGAGGGTATCAGGAAAAACACAGCAAGTGTTTCACTATAGGGAACTAACAGATTTATCATTCTGCATGCTCTTGGGGGAACAATTATGTTGACAAACCACCCACTGTGAAGAAAGCCTTTTTTGTTTTATTTGCAAGTAGCTGTTATGAATGCTACTTGGTCTTTGGTTCTTCAAAATCATCATGTCTTTCTTTTGATTACAGTGTAAGTAACAACAGTGGAGGCAAGCTACCTGCTAAAACTGAGAAGGGACTTCATCTTAAGGTATAGAATACTGTTTTAATTATGTCTTGATCTGCTGTGAGGTAGCTGCAATATGCTTGTCGAGTTGTCCTGGAAAACAGGTGTGAAAGGAAGAGGTCAATGTCTGAGACTTAAGCAGTTTTTCATCACCCATTCAGTAGATCTCTGTGATAATGGTTTAAGGTATTTTCAAGAGTAATACAGAGTCTAAGACTTATTACTGAAAGTCAACAAGAGGCACTTTTTGTGTGCTTTCTGAAATGATAAAAGTTCTTTTTTTGTTTGTTACTACATGGAGCTCATGGAGCTGAACATGCTGAACAATGTCAGTTTTAACATAACTTGTAGCTAGTTTACATGGGGTAATTAAACTTCTGTAAATTTCCCCAAGGCAGAAGAGCACATCAAGAAAATAATGCTTTCAGATCTGCAGATTCCAGGGATCAAAAAAGCTATGGAAGTACAGGTACTTTTATTTTGGAAGAATCCCACAATGCTTTGCTAAGTTGTATTTGAAGCTTGTTAGTGTGTATAAGCTGTGTCACTTCAGCTCTGTCTCATTCTGCTCACATGTAAAATTCCTTTATTTTTATAAAGATGAGTAAGTACAAGCTGGGGAAGGGAGGAAGATTATTTCTGTGAAGGTGACTAATGTTGGTTTTGTTCCCTGCAGTTAATTACTGTTAGTTTCAAAGTAACAACAAAATCAGGTATAGGTTGAAATGCATTTGTTGAAATTAATACTGGTTCTGAGTAACATCCTTTATCTTGTTCTTGTGTAATTATAATCTCTGGTGGCTTTTGTCTTTAGGGTACAGTAACAGAGTTCAAGAGTCCAAAGGAATTTTATATACAGATGAGTTCTCCAGAAGTTTTAGACCAGATCAGTAAACTTTCTGTGAAACTGCAAGACTGTTATGCTAACACAATTATTCAAGAGGAATATAATGCTGTCAAAGGGGAAGTCTGCATTGCAAGGTGTTCTTTGGATCAGGTAACATCTGATTATCAATAAAATAACCATTCTATGTTGAGCTCATAATATTTTGTTTGTTTTCCTTTTATGTCTCACCAGTGAAGGCTGCTAATTAGAGATGAGTTTAATGTGATGGAATTGGGGTAGCAACTTAACTTTATAACATTTGGAACTCAATTTTAAGGTATTGGTGAAGTAAAGTAAAATGTTGTGTTACTACAAAGATGGTGATTTATTCCTACACAGACCTGGAATAGAGCACTGGTAAAAGATGTGGATATAATGCAAAAGAAAGCACAAGTATTCTATCTAGATTATGGAAATGAAGAAAATATTCCTCTCTCTTGGATTAAAGCTCTGCACAGAGACATTGAACTGTTTCCTCCATGTGTAAGTTCTGTTTTTCTAACATTAGCTAAGGTATTTTAAATAAATAGCTCTGAAAGGAGTGTAACTTGTCTCAGTGTAACTGTCATTGTAACAGTGTTTTGCATGCAGTGGAAATTATGCCTAAAAACTGCTGCACTTCACTCTCGTTCCCCTCCTGAAAGGTTTTTAGCTATTCCATAGGGTTGAGGAAGGCCACCTGGCTTTTTATTTCCTAGTCCCAGAATTCTGGGTTCTGAGCTGATAAAAAAATCCCTGGACAGTGGTTAGATCTGCATGTCCCTTATTCACTAGAGGACAACAGGGGAAACATTCTGCCTGCCTTTTCTAATCTGGTCTCATGGGCAGCATAAATAGTGGGAGAATCAGAGGAAATGTGGTTTACAGTTGTAACTTAATTTCCTAATTAGTAACTCTCCTATGAAGAAGTTAGTGGAACTGATAGGACTTCAAACTCCAACAGCAGCTTTAACTTTTACAGACAATATTTTATTTTTGAGGGTCTTAATTATTCAGTCACTTTTTCTACAGGGTAAACAACTGCCTATCCTCTCTTGTTCTAATTGTAATTCTTTCCAGGCCATTAAATGTTCTTTTGCTAATTATGATCCAAAACAAAAAGGATGGAATGAACGCATCACCAGCTTTTCTTCCCAGCTTATGGGAAAGCACTGCTTGGTAACTATTGTTGACATATTACAGGAAGAAATGATGTTGAGTTTTGCTGTAGATGTTGTTCTTCCAGATTTTGGTAAGTACTTGATAGTGTGTGTGGGAAAAACCCAATAGAGTTTTAAAGTCTTTCATGTTCATTTGCCCACCCTAATACCTTTAAAATATATTTTTTTCTTTTGCTCTCCTCCTTGCCACTCTCTCAACCTGCCTCTTGACTTTTTCAATTTTTTTATTTATTTCACCTTTCCATGTAGAGGTCACTTCAAAATATCTCTACCTGAAATATCTTGTTATGCTTAATAACTATATTTTAGTAAGGTTACTTTTCCAGTAGAATGTTAATAATTTCAGTGTTTTCTATTTATTGTCTTTTTCTATTTTTTTTTTGTTTTGTTTCTATTTATTTTTTTGTTTATTTTATTTGTCCCAGATGCAAATCTGGGACCATGCTGTTCCTTTTATCTCGTGGTTTTGACTCTTTAAAAACTATTAGTTTCTAGTTCCACTAAGGATTTTACTGGCTTTTTTTATATTTCATATATGCTCACTAAACAAGTATCCCAAAGAAAGTGCAACCACTGGATATTATTGCATCTAGTAAGAGAGCTCTAAGCATATTTATATTTCTAACTTGGCAAGCCTTAAATGGATGGAAACAAGCAGAGCACTTGCCTTCTGAGTAGTCTGAATTCAAGTTTCCAGTTGAGTTGAGAGGTGGCTTTGATTGTGGAACCAGAGGAATGCAGAGGAGATGTGCCTGTTGTTACTGTTTGGAGGGCTGTTTTGTTTGGAGTTTTTCTGTCCGCAGAGCAAGAGCAGTAATAGTGCAAAGAGTGTATTCTTGTCACTGACAGGCAGTTCACGGAAACTGTGAAGGAAGTGGAGGTTGATTTTCTTAGCTTGCTAGAATTCCTGATGGGCAAGAAGCTATCTCCATGTTACAGTCCCAGCAGTCTATAAAATGATAGTTCACCTTAGTCCTTTGTAAATTCAGCTGATTCAGGGTTGTGCTGGGCATGTTTCACATTTGCTTGCTTTACAGCACACTAATGGCAAAATTATGTCACCTGCCAGACTCTTGGAGAGAAAAATCTCACTGCATTCATGAAATGTTGCATGCAGATATATATTCCATGACCTTACAAGCAACTTAAACTTCTGTATTCAGGTTTTGAGTTGAAAAGAATAATGCTGAAAGCTTGGAATACTGCTTCATGTGTCAGTTCTAGTAACTCATTTCATACTTGCAGTTACAAATATGGAGGTAAGTTTTGAGTCCTTGTGTGAAAATCTGGAATTGGTTTTTCAGCCAGCAGTCCTTAGTGGCTACAAGTAAATGTTGATTGTTACTACTTGGAGCTGTGAACATCTTCAGAAAACTCAAGTAACTGAGTTTCTCTGAAACTACGTCTATATTCTAAGCATATTAAGTGCACCACAAATAAGTAGAACATGCTTACCTTGTGATAAGGATGTAGGTTAGGCTCATAAGGTGGTTCTGAAATAAAATTAAATTATTACTGTCTTGCATGGTAAATTACTTTGTTTCTTACATCTGTATTTTAGGAGACTGCCTCTGTAAAGTACCTGTTGAAATGAAGTCTGATTTCACTCCAAGAATTAATGCCAAAGGAGAAGACTCTCCAAGAGGTAAGCAAGCAAATCAAACTTTCTAAGAAGAGATGGAGAAAATTTGAGGAATTCTAAGTCCTCATGTGTCATATGAATGTAGTAAATATTTTAGCTGTTCACTAATGTCAGCATCTATTTAAACACATTGGCTAGTGGAATTTCCTTCAGGTCACTAGTGACAGTAGGACATATGCTTTTTTAATATTATAAAGTACTTGTTTAGTGATGATTATGTGAGCATTAATTTAATGGATAACTTGACAGGAACCTTCACATTTCTAAGAGTCAGCAAGAAAAATAAACTGCTTCAGTGTGTTTAAATTTTGTAGTTTAATATAGCACTGTTTTAAAGTCTCTAAATCCTGGCTGGTAAGGTTGCATCTTTTGAACAGTAACTTTTTTTTTCCCAAATGTGCAGTGACAGAAACCCATTCTAAGGGAAGTAAAGAAAAAATACCTGTAGATGAAGAATGTCTTCACTTTGCTAATTCCGTTACAGAGTGTATCTCTGTATGTATTGGAGATGCATTTTCTGGCATGGTTTCCTACATTCAAAATCCAGAAAACTTCTTCTGTCAGCAGATGCACAGTGCCCGTAAGTGAGGCGTTGAAAATGGGGTGCAAGTTAGGGAGAATGGCATTTTTCTCTTCAGTAGAGAGCGGCTGGAGGGAGGGAAGTGTTGCTGGTTTTGTAGTTCAACCTGAAACAGTGATTCCCTGTAGCATGAGGCCATGCTGCAGCCAGGTAAAAGCTGTGGTGCTGTAGAGGGTGTTTCTGGCAGTGTGAGCTGCTGATGTGGCTGACTGAGCTTGGAGGGTGGTCATCTGTGGGCAGTCAGAGTAGTGCTAAGTAGAAAGGTGGTTTTTAACCATCTGAAGTCAATTTGTATCACAAATATTTAATGTTAAATATGTTTTCTCAGGTGTTCCAGTAATGTGTGTGCTTCTGATTACTTTGTTTATTCCTATGATGCCCTGTTGCTGAGGAATCACCACGGTGATTCTCTGGTATTACTGATTGGTATTATGTTAAACATTATGCTACCAGATGTTCTTCCAGGCTTTCAACTTAAGATTTGTATACTTTTGTGATAATTACAAGACAGTGTATGTTCCAAAACCTGTATATTTTAATATCAGGTCAACTTGCTGAGCTTCAAGTGGCTCTTAATGAGCATTGTGACAAATTCCCCAGTAGTCCAGCTTTCCGTCCTGCTGCTGGAAATGTGTGCTGTGCCCAGTTCAAAGGTAAAAATGGAATGAAAAATATGGCTCTTAACTTGTTGCTGCAACATATTTTATTACATTGAGAAATGTTTCATTTAGTTTTTTTGCTTGTCTCTGGTTTTAGTTGTGGATAGCATTATTAATAGCAAGAGATGGCATCTATAAAATACTATTTTAAAAAAGACCTTTAAATGGTCCCTTAATTGAAAAAATTCTTAGCACTGGGGTCATTTTTGTATAAAGGAGCTTTTTAAGATACCATATGGGTGAGCACTATTTCCTGTGGCTGGAATAAATACAAACTTGAAATTCCAGGCCCCAAAAAAAGGAGAGAAGAAATGGCATTATATGTAGTGATGCTGCTCTGATGGACTACTCAGTGTTGTTTAGCCAAGACCTGTTGCTCCTGAATTGACCTTCCTAACTCAGTTCCACCTGACAGTTATCACTGATGTAGAGTTTCTGCAGGTTTAATGACAAAATTGAATCTTTACTAAACATGTGCTAGTATTTTGCATAAAGCAGTGTTTTGTGCTAGGAACTGGCAAATCTATATGAAAGAAATGTTATCAGTATCTGAAGTCCTGTTTGCTTAAGTGCAGTACGATGAAGATTTTTTTTTTTCTCACAGATCATTCTCCTTTTCATACAGCTTTTAACAAAGAAAAAACATCCACATGCTGCAGTTCTATGCCTTTTTAAATCAGAAATGATCAGAAATGTTGCTGCTATAATTTCTTAATGTGATTGATAAACATTCCTCATTATTTCTTCCTATTTCCTGTAGTTTTTATGCTTTGAATAAGCCAGCTGTGGGACTGAGCAGATGAGCTGAAATAAATGCCTTTTTTTTTTTTTTTTTTTTTTGCATGCTCAGAAAAAGCTAGTACTGCCTATAAACTGCCTTGGCATTTGAATGGGCACTTATTTTAGGTGCCTAGCTAGGGAAAACTGTCAGATGAGCACTTCAGATCTCTTGATACACTTGAGTAAGCTTGTAGTACTATTTCTCAAATAACTAATAGAATTAAAATACTTAAATTATTAGATCTGTTGTGTAGCCTTTGCATTGCTTGTCACTGTGTTCAGCCGTGGTACTGTGTGCTGTTTAAGTCTGCTGAACTTAAGCACTACATCCACATATGTAGTCAATTCTTCATTGCATGTATCTGTGAGGGGGAGGGTCTTTCTGAAGAATGAGTTTGGAACACACAACTCCTAAGAGGGTTGATGTTGAGTCCACAAGGGTTTTGTGAAGGTTTGAGATTGACCTATTTTTATTTTGGTTTGTCCAAAAAATCATTCTATTCTCAGAAGTTAAAAGAAAGTACAATGAAAATCTGTATGTTCCTTTCTAGAAGACAATCTCTGGTATCGTGCTGCTGTTCTAGCATATGCTTCTGAAGATACTGTTTTTGTGGCCTATATAGATTATGGTAATTCAGAGGTTCTTCCATTGTCTAGACTTCGTCCTATGATTCCAAGATCAGTGGACTTGCCAGCTCAAGCCATAAGATGCACCTTGGCAGGTATGAAATACATGATAAGCTGATTCAAACAGGTCACAGGCAAAGTAAGCAAGGTTAGATAATGGTCACATCTGTAGTATCTTGAAACAGGGGAGGGTGGAGACAACAGCGTTATTTCCAGAACTCTTGGTTGTGATATAACTACAAAATGTGACAAGTCTTGCCTAATGTACCTGGTGACTTGCAGTGATGTGTTTGGGAAACTGTGTTTTCTATGAACATACCTGTTAGGTTTTGCATGTGCTTTTGTTCCAAGCAAAATTCAGTCACCTATGGATTTGTAGAATTATTAAACTTGTTGAGGTTCTTGCATTGCAGAGCAAAGCAAAACTTAAATTTTCTATATTGAATTTCAGAAGTACTGTGTCTGTCTCTTTTCTGGGGCAAATCTAGTGAAACTATCAGTGAACTCTCCATAGGCTTGTGAAATCTGTAAGGTTGGAGGGGACTCAGCGCTTCCTAGTTCATTCTTCTGTCTCAAGCCACGATCATAATTTTTTTTTCTTGACATACTTAACCTGCTGTTGGAAATTGTTTATTTTCTCTGTTCCCATCACTATGCAAGGTAGTCCACCCCTTTTCTTCACTACCCTTGCTTTAGAATACTTGATTTCTATCCTTGATTTACAATACCTGATATTTAACTTGCTTTTCAAATATTTTTGTGAAGTTCAGAGAAGCATTCTTGTATGCAGAGATGGAACCAATGCATAAGGAATGTGACCTAAAGAAATCTCTTTTATTGGGCAAATAATGATGCCTATAGCAGCTAGTGAGTGTTCTAGGACTAAAAAAGGTCCTAAACACTATGTGGACCCAAGAAAGGGATCAGATGTTTCCTGAATAGAGTCAAGGAATACTGCTGCATCTTTCTAGAAAGCAAATTCTGCCAATCTGTTACTATAAAGTTCTGGATATAACCTGCATTTTAGAAATAAATTTACTAGCATAAAGAATAAATGTTAAAGGAGGAAGGAGTTTATAGTAGCAGTTACATTGGCTAAGAGATGGTTCATAGTGTTACGAATTATATGTTCTATTTATGAGACCGAAAGACTGACACTTAACATAGGCATTAAATCTGAATTTAGGCATCTCTTTGTAATAGACTACTTGTATGTGATCTTGGTCTGATTTTTACCAAGTCCACATGCTAAAAAAGTTTAGAATCTAAATACTTGGGATTGGAATCTTGTTTACAAGCATGAGGAGTGTGGGGTTAGTTACTTGGTATATCTGCTGCTTAATCTAGTCTTTTAAACAGTGTTGTACCTTCCTGCATATTGTTGAGACTGGACTGTCCTCAGAACCTTTCCATACAATGTGACTTTTTAGGTGTAAAGCCACCACTGGGAGTCTGGACCTCAGAAGCCATTTCTGCTATGAAACAACTGGTGAATGACAAAGTGCTCACAATAAAAGTAGTGGACAAAGACAGTTACAGGTCTGTGGTGGAGCTGGTAGATGCATCGGTTACTCCAGGAATAAATGTAATGAAGCATCTCATAGAGAGAGGCTGTGCAGCTGAGGAATCAAGGCTGGCCTCGCCAGCAGCTGGAGGGAGGGATGTTAAGCAAGCTAATGGTGAGTACAAGCACTGTTTGAGCTGACTTTTGGATTGAACAAGAATTTGCAGTATTCCAGCCTTTAACTGTGATCTTGCTGTTTAATCATAATTAATATAAACATTTGTATTATATTGTTAGTTTTTACAGTTACCCTGCATTTTCTTACTATTCCCATTAGAAGCCTCACCTGGGCGCTGGAAGCCGATAGAACTGGTGATAGGTGAAAGCCTGTCTGTCTGTGTAACAGAAGTTGACAGCCCAGACTTGTTCTATGCTGTCCCAGTTCAAACTAAAGGTAAGAAAGTGCTCACTGTTCCTCACACCAGTAAGAAGTCACTGTTGCAAACTAGTTAATAAACTTAATGCCTATGGTGACCTGAACCACGTGGAAATGTAGCTCAGACAGTAGAAAAATACAAACATGCCAAAGGTGGGAGCAGGGGAGCTTAAAAGTTAAGTACGCTCCTCATTCTACCCTAATGTGCTTAGTTACCTGGTGTTTTTTCCTGTAGATGAAGGGAAGCTGTATAGGCAGTCAATGGAACTAGAAGACTATTGTAAATCTTGCAGGAACCAGCCATTCACACCGCAGCCGGGTGAGGCCTGTTGTGCCAGGTTTTCAGGTGAGGCAACTGTTCCTTCTTGAATTTCCCTGAAAAGCATAAAGTACCACTTTCCTTTTTGCTTTAGAACAGGATAAAAGCCAACTTTAAAGTGCTTACAGCTCTGGCTGCATCTTTAGGGCAAAGACACTGTCTGACAGCCTGGGAGAGAAAGTAATGGAACAAGTTGTGCCTTGCAAAATGTATAGAGCTCTAAGGGGAAAGAAAACTCATTACTGTAAATACTGAAATCTGTGTTTGAGTCAAGAGTGGCATATAAAATTCATGGTAGAGCAATAGTGAACTTGTATCCATATGGACATACTTCTGGTTTCTGGGTGCCTGGGTGGTGGTTTGTTGTTTCTCTGCATGAACATGTCACTGGCTGTGACAACTGACTGTTCAGCGTTGTTGGTCTAACAGGATGTTGAGGCTGAGCAAACTCTCAGTGTGTGTCCAAAGACTTAACAGTGAGGGAACTGAATATGTCCCCTTTTCAGGAAAGAGGGGAGACTCTGCTGATATATTAATTCAATATTTTAAAAAAAGTAGTGTTGACTCGTAACTAAAGGTTGACTGCATGTGGATTGTTACAGATCTAATTAACTTGAGTGCTAGATCAGATAACAGCTTATGGAAAACAGGATAGATTAATTAAAAAAAAAATACTATGCAGACCACAAGAGTATACCTATAAGTTTGACAGTTGTTTTTAACTTCCACTGATATTTAAGGAAATGATGCTGTTTGTCACTTCAGGATAATAAAGGAAAATATTATTTTTTTTAATTGGTTGTTTTGAGAGGGACTATGCATTGGAAAACAAAGGTAAAGTGCTGGAAATGCAGAGTGCAAACATCCTTAAAAACAGTACTGCAGCAAAAATCTTCCCTGTGTAAATTGAGCGAAATTCTGAAAGCAAGACTTGCATATTCATGAATACAGCAATCAGAAACAGTAGCCTTGTTCTGTGGGCTTGCTTCTTGTATTTAAAAATTATTGGAAAACAATACACATTCTTGTTCTCAGGAAAAGCTGTGTTTATAAAGTGGTACTTCATGTGTGATTCCTCTTTTCCAAATCTTTCCAGGTGATGGCTGTTGGTACAGAGCTGTTGTTCTAAAAGCTGCTCAGTTTGCAGTGAAAGTGCTATATGCAGATTATGGGAACACAGAGACTTTGCCACTTTCAAAGGTGCTGCCAATCCCCGAGTCCTACTTAAAGATGCCTTTTCAGACAATAACATGTTCACTTGCAGGTAAAAGAAAACCCAAACAACAAATCCCAAACCAACCAAAAAACCCTGATTAGTTTTCTTGAATATTATACATCTGTACCTGTTCTGATGATAGGGTTAATTTTCGAATGCTGGTAAATAACATGATCTGCTGAAATACCATACTGGTTCATTCTGCAGAAGCTGTTTTAGAAAGTATATTTTTAGTCAATTATCTGTAGGATCTAAGCTGCTTATAGTAGGAAAATATAGCATTCAAAAACAGTGGTAACATTCCATGTAAGATTCAAGTCATATGACAAAGGAATTCTTTCTAGAGCAAACTTGATTATTTTTTTTTCAGGAATAGAGAAAGCTGAGTGGTCTCCATTACTACTTGCTAAGTTGAAAGAAATGTTGTTGAATAAATATGTCAAAATTACAGTGGAAGGCATTAATGGAAATGTTTATGTAGTAACGGTAGAGAAATCTTCTGGAAGCAGCTGTCTGAATGTAGCTGACCAGCTGGTCCTGGAAGGTTTGGTCAGATCGTGCCGTGCTGAGAAGTTACATACTGAACATCAAGGTACGTACGTTCACTTAATTGCTTCAGATAACTTAATCTGAAGAGCTGTGGGCATATGGGATACCTAAATAACTTTTCATTCCAAAAGTCTTAAAGAATTCCACAGGTCACCTTTTAAATTAGGGAAGCTGTGTCCCATGGGTGTTTTCTCATTCACTTGCTTTTTTTTTTTTTTTGTAGGCCATGGAGGTGAGACCAAATGCTGCTGTGCGGAATTAAAAACACAAGTAAGGTTCAGTCCATGCAGTACTTGCTTTTTATGTTTCCAGAATTGAAAAAAACCCTGTGTGGGAAGCAAATGGGAGTAGGGAGTTAATAGCTAACCAGAACATTGAAGATGTGTCAAGTGAATATCCTG